TGGCGGACTAGCTTTAGGTCGAGTCCTGGCATCTGGTCGTACGACCAGGCGAACACGTCCTGAAGCTCTAGGTCGGACTAGCTCTAGCTCTAGCTTCCAAGGTCTTTTGTGATAAGGTGCTTTCTTTACCTTCTAGGAGTGTGATTAACTTCTCCTTATCCTTTGCTGACTGCCTAGCAGATATGTACAATGGTCACTTGTCGGATCCGTCAGCCGCTAAGTTGATTTCTTCTAACGGCTCTTCAACCATGTCGATGGAGTCCGTCATGCACTTTGGGGGCACCCTAACTTCATCATAGTATTCTAGTGTGCCCTCTTTCTATTCATGAAGTTGTTTAATTATTATTCGTCTGAGCCTTAGTTATCTTATACTTTCATATGTATGGAGTTTAAACACTGTACCTTTGTGCTTAGTTCAGGGGTCGGTATGTCGCTTGACGGTGTGATATCACTTTGTGTGTAGCAAAATAGCACAGGTTGAAACATTACTTGGAGTCTTCGGTTAGACGGAAAATGAGAGTATGTTTTACAAATATATGCTTTTAAAAAAAAACATTATAGCTTTTCTTGAAAAGAATAGTAAAAGCCCATTTTCTTTCTTGATACATAGTGCGATCAGGTCATATCTTGGTAATTAAAAAAATGCTCATACCTTGGGGGTAGCTTTCTTAGTTGTAGGGAGTTTGTCATCCTCGTAGTCTGCAACGATGGTATAGTACTCTTTCCCGTCATCCCCTGTCATCCGTACACATCTACTCCTCTTCCGCCGCTCTGATGTTCCTGCAAACTCGCTTTTAGGAGGATGTGGCAGCTTTGTCCCCTTCAAGCTTGGCTATCCTTGTCTCACTGTCTTCTGCCAACTCTGTGAAATAAATTGCGTCCTGAAGGTGTGTCTCTATTTTGTCGAATGGGGCCCTGGTAACCGGAATCCTTATTGACCTTCCTCAATATCTTGCCTTGATGCACAGATGGTACGTTGAAGGGACAAGGGTCGGGTCATGTATCAGTGGTCGCCCTAAGAGCATGTGGAAGGAGATTTTTCCTCAGATTAATTGAAATTCTTGTCTTACATTGAATTGCCCGACTGCAACCTGCAGCTCTATGGATCCCACAGTGGTCAAGAGGGTTCCGTTAAAGTCTGTTACTTCTAGTGGGAGTCCCTTGATGTCTTCTTTCTGAATGCCCATCAGCTTCAGTGTATGGACCGGGATAAGGTTCACAAATCTTCCAGGGTCAACCATTCATCTCTGCATGTCATACTCCCTATCTTTGCCATAATGTACAGGGGCCAGTTGTGGAGAGGGTCATTTACCAGCATGTCATCCTCCATGAATTCCACGCTATGACGGTCATGGCTATACGGTTGCAGGGGGTATCGGAATATTTCTGCCAACGCTCTGATGGCTATTTTTTGCATCTTCATGTTGGCCCCCTATTTCATGAAGAACTGGCTCAGATCTTCACTCCACTCAAATCGCTCTATCAGAGCGTTGGCCTGGTGTTGTCCTATAGCCCCAACTACATTGATGTTACCTCCTCGGGAGTGCATTGGCAAGGGATCGATCTCTATTCAAGCTGGTCCTTTCATTACAAATTGATCTAACTTCACTTTCTGTGCAAATATCCTCCTAAAGGTGAAGTAGTCCATCAACTCGTGGTGTGTTATCTGGTGGTAGTTACACCACCTGTCGCCGTGCTTGGCTTTCTCCGAATTCACTCTGGAGGGTGATGGCGGCAAGTTGATTACCCCGTCTTCTACTAGCTTGTTCATGATCATGATCACTTCTTCTTTCGTACAAGGAAAAGGGGGAGGTGTTGGCACATCTCTTCTTCCTTGGGCGTTGTTTCGCTAGTACAGCCCTTGTCTGGCTACTCCATTGTTCCTTGGCCTCCTATCAATCGCATATGCCTCTTCCCTATTGTATGGGGTCATGCCCTTGATGGTTTGCACCATCCTCTCTGTGCATTTCCAGAGCTGGCTGAAAGTTTTTGCTTCGACATTTCTGATGTTGATCCAGTATGCAGGGTGCATCCCCATAACACACTGTTCGACAAAGCCTTTCTTAGTAGCGTGCTCATCGAAGACGGAATGGGTGAGCTTCTAAAATCTCAAGATGTAAGCTAGAAGGTCTTCCCCTGGTCCCTATTCCACATTCCACAGGTCAACCATAGTCAACTTCCTCTCCAGTGTAAACCACTTCGACAGGAATTTCTTGGCTAATTCTCCCCACGAGTCAATGCTCCCGGTGATGAAACTCACAAACCATATGTATGTTAGGCCCAATAACGATTTTGAGAACTCCCAGACTTTGAGGTCCCCATCAAGAGAAAGGGGACCGAGGGAATCTTTAAACTTGCTGATATGTTCTTGCAAGCTACCCTTTGCCCATCATACTATGGTCACATTTGAGGGGAGGCATACCCAACAGGATACGGTTTGTATGAGATACTATCGGAATACAGCTTTTTTAAAACATTGGAATCTTGTGCTTGGTTACGACTCTCAACCACTAACCCTTGAACATATTCCTTCAATTTGTCCCTACTGAGGGGGACTTTTGACAGCGGGCCGCTGCTGGGGAGAATGAAACTAGTGGGTGGGTATAGAGCCTACTTGAGATGGGAATGGGTTGGCCTTATGGTGTTGTTCCGGGATGCCAGGGAAGGTGGGTGTGGTACCAGAAGCATACCAACTAGGATTGGGATTAGGTGGTGGGTGTCGAATCCAACCAAAAATAAAAATCCTGCTCGAATTAAATATTTTTGTATATAGTGATGAGCAAGGTCATCTCTATAGGGATTGGGTTGATTTATTTCCAAGAAAACAAAGTAGAGGGTTGTTATAAAGATAAGGAAAATAAAATAAAATAAAGATTAAATCAATAAGAGGCAGCTCCTGGTTGAAGGGATAAGTTCAGCTCTGATTCTTGCAATTGATCATCAATGCAAGGATGGATTCATGTGCTTATGAGTAAATTGGTTATAGCTATTAACAAGCTCTAATAGCCAATCTCTTCTTGAGTTTCCGGTAACCAAAACAAGCTCTTCGACTACCTTACTTATTGATAGACAACCCTAAACAAGCTCTTAGGATTAACCTATCAATAGCATTAAGAATTAGAGAGACCCAATTCTAATCGGTGAACATGCAAGCTCGGTTCATCTAAATTAGATCATATATTTTCATAACATAAATCGAAAACTTGTCCATAATCAATTTATGTTATTCGCCTCAACGATTAAATCTAACAAACATATACGAATTTGATGATCTAATCGGCAATAGATTATTTCATCGATTGAACAATGGATCCTTTTTGCTCAATCAATAGAAATAATCATCACAGGAAATCACAGAAAATATATAAATAATAAACAATGAACTGAAATAAAATCAATTAGATCTCACAATTTTTTGTAGAACCAAAGCTTCCTTAACCTTCAACCAGAAAATAAAAGCAAATCGCACTTCATGGAGAGATCGCAGCTTCCAGATGAAGAGGACATATTTTGCTTTCTTCCTTCCTTCCTTCACTCCTTGATTGATTGAGTGATTCGATTGCTAGTCCACCCCCTTTATATAGCCTTAGGGGAAAGGGTTGTTTCCATCACCTCTTAGGAGTTCTTTCTCAAAAATAGAAAGTCCAATTTCTTAATGGGATAATGCTTAATTCAGATATAATCTTATCCTTATCTCTAAATAGAAATTCTTAACTAAGATGGACTTTGACTTTCTATCTTTTTAGAAGTACAGCAAGAAATAGACTCTATTAAAACTCTTGGTGACTCACGCCTCCAACTCAGCCGAATCCTACTAGGCTTAATGGGGCCCACTTCTTGCATGCTGACATCGTGCTGGTCTTCTCCCATCGTGTTGGGGCTATGCTGCAAGCTCCTTTCAGCTTTCTTCCCAAATTGTGATTTTCTAAATAAAACACACTAAAATCCATTAATTAACTTACTAATTAAATAAGAAAAAATACAAATAATATGGAAATTACGCACACTATCAAACCTCCCCCCACTTAGACCTTGCCCGTCCTCGGGCAAGACAAAATTTAAGCAAAAATAAGCAAACTATCCTACCAAACTTTAAACTCAGCTTTCCTTCTTCTTTTTCCACAAATATTCTAGGTTAACTATGGCAAACCGTTAAATCAATACAACCAAGTCATACACGACTCATCTATCAACCAATTCAATTTTTGCTACTACAAACCAAGTAGTAAACTAGGGAAAACATTTTTATCTTTACTCTCTTTTTTCTCTTCTTGGTGAAAGTGAGTGCATTTTATGCTCCATCTCACTTTTAGGATTACTTGGCCAGTAGGTGCATTTTATGCTCCATCCTACTGTTAAAATTGCTGGAATAGTAGGTGCATTTTATGCTCCATCCTACTTTTGAATTGCTGGTTAGTATGTGCATCTTATGCAAAATTGCTGGAATAGTAGGTGCATTTTATGCAAAATTACTGGAATAGTAGGTGCATTTTATGCTCCATCCTACTTTTGAATTGCTGGTTAGTAGGTGCATTTTATGCTCCATCCTACTTTTGAATTGCTGGTTAGTAGGTGCATTTTATGCTCCATCCTACTTTTGAATGGTTGGCTAGTAGGTGCATTTTATTCTCCATCCTACTAGGTTACCTCAATTGTATGGTAAAAATATTTATCCTATTTACTTAATCCTGAATTTAGGACTAGCTCAAAAGGAAATGGCTTCAGATAAGTCATGTATTCCCTAATCGCACCTCATTACTAGGTTCACAAGAATTTTCCCAGAATATTGTTTCAATTGATTTCAAGAGAGTTGAGTGTTTTTTTTAACTGAAATAAATACTACTCATCTAAAATCCTGAATCAAATCCTATACTTCACGCCCCCCCCCCCCCACACACACTTAAAACTTGCATTGTCCCCAATGCAAAGAAAAGGTGGAAATAACTAAACTATAAATGCAAAAACAAGAAGTAAAAAAAGAAAAATAAACTTCTCTGTTTTTAATCATCATAAACCAGATCCTCTAACTTTTGTAGTTGCAACTTCCGGTGTTCTCCCCTTTCAACCATCATGGGTGGGTACAAATCTGGAATAGGGGCCTGCAAAATAGAGGGTAAAGGTCTCTCATTAGAAATTGGTAACGGAATATAAGGAACGTTACCTGACTGTTGTAACTCCAGAGAATCATTCAATGTTGCAACAGTTTCCTGCAATTTAGAATTCAAGATTAACTCCTCTTCCTCAGGATGCTTAGTAATGGAAATTCCGAATCCCTCCTTCCCACCAAGTTCAAAAACTTCCTGTGCTAAAGAATCAATCACATCAATAGAATAAATAGGATTATCATCACTAGGATATTTCATGGCATCATAAATATTAAAGTTGATAATCTCATCATCAAATTCCATGGTAAGTGTCCCCTTATGCACATCGATTTTAGTCTTGGATGTCTTAAGAAATGGGCTTCCCAACAAAATTGGAGTTGAATTGGAAGAATTATCTTCTTCCATATCAATCACATAAAAATCAACAGGAAAGACCAGATCATTGACTTGGACTAAGACGTCCTCCAAAACTCCCTTTGGATATGTAGTGGATCGATCAGCAAGTTGTAGAATCACTCTCGTTTCTTTCAATGGCCCAAGGTTCAAAGTTGTGTAAATAGAATGGGGCATGACATTTATCGAAGCTTCTAGATCTAACATTGCTCTTTCAATCTTAACGTTTCCTATCTTACAAGGGATAGAAAACATACCTGGATCCTTGCATTTAGGAGGTAATTTTTTTTTGGAGGATTGCTTAAACATTCTCCCCTATATGGACTTCCTCATTACCTTTCAGCTTTTTCTTAGTAGTACATAACTCCTTAAGGAATTTAGCATAGCGAGGTACTTGCTTGACTGCATCAAGGAGGGGAATATTTACCTCAACCTTGCGAAATGTCTCAAGAATATCCTTCTCTTGCTCCTCCTTCATGGATTTTGCAAATCAGCTAGGAAAAGGTGGAGTTGTCACTATGGCTTGGGGTTGTTCACCCGCTTGGATCTTGAGTTTGGGGTGGTGGTGCTTTCTTTTCTATTTCTTCTTCAATTGTATTCTTAGGCACTTCCTTGCTAGGCCTATTCAGCTCCTTTCCGCTTCTTAAAGTGATTGTACTAGCATTCTGCTTAGGGTTGACTATGGTCTATGAGGGTAGTTCCCTGATCCTTGAGATTCTAATCGACTCACAACAGTTTCCAATTGGCTCACTTGATTCTCCAGGTTTTGGATGATTGTCCTTGTCTCCTGTTGAAATTGTTGGGTGTTAGTTGCAAGTGCTTGAACAATTTCATCTAAACACTTACCTAGTTTTGGAGATGAATGTTGTGGAGTCGGTTGTCTAGCTTGATATTGTTGGAAGCCGAAGGGCTTGGCTCCATAGCTAAGATTAGGATGATCCATCCATCCAGCATTATAAGTATTTGAATAGGGATCGTATCTCCTTTGTGGGAATCCTCCGACAGCATTGGCTTGTTCATAGGGTTCATCTTGAAGTGTAGGGCACATGTTGGTTGGATGACCCATAGTGGAACAAATGCCACAAGTCTTTACTTGTTGTACATGACCTACTACCAATTTTTCCACAAGAGAGGTGAGAGTATCTAATCGTTAATCGATGGAAGAAGTACTTACCTCATCGACTCTCCTCGGGATGGACTCTTGTCTATTGCCAAATTGTTGTGCATTGGCGGCCATGTTTGCAATTAGTTCCCTTGCTTGAGTAGGAGTTTTAATCACCAACACACATCCATTTGCAGCATCGATCATACTCCTGTCCATAGGCAATAATCCTTCATAAAAATATTGGATAAGGAGTTGATCCGGAATCTGATGTTGAGGACAGCTTGCACATAGTTGTTTATCTTATCTTAAGTAAGAGTGTGTTACCAATAGAAGTAGGTAATTAGGAGTTTGAGTTCAAGTTGGAGTTTGAGTTTAATTAGGAATTTCCTTCTGTAATCTCCTATTTAAGGAGCTACGAATTGAAATAAAGGCATTCAATTTTCCAGTCAAGAAAGAGAGTGAGGAGAGTTCGGGTGGTCTCTTACACAAATCACCCATTAAGAGAGTTCGGGTGATCTCTTGGACAAATCACCCACGCGATTGCCACAATAGGGTCTATACGCAAGGGCAAGGGCAAGGGCAAGGAAAGACAGGAGTCTCTCCCGGTGGACCGACCCATGATGAGATCCTACGCGCGGGCCCATAACATTTTGGTATCAGAGCCAAACGTCATGGGTGATATGGAGCAGCTGTCTTCCAAGGTCTACGAACTGGAACGCAAACTTGCAGAGACCAGCATGGAGGGATGTGAGGTCAAGGATGATGTCCGGGAGCTTCGACGCTTGCTGGAGACATTCTTAGACAATAGGGAAAGAAACTCAGAAGGAACCGCCACCAACAACAGCCACAGATCGGACTGGGCAGAAACGCCTGGCGAACATCAGACGGCCACCCCGACTACCGCTATTATCCCCAAATACACTTGGCTAGAATTTCCGTCCTACAACGGCACGAGAGACCCACTGGGATGGTTGCACCGCTGTGAACAGTTCTTCCGCAACCAGCGCACCGATGACAGAGACAAGGTCAGCCTGGCCGCATTCCACCTGACCGAAGAAGTGCAACTCTGGTTCTACCGAGTGGAGAAGGAGGAACCAGGTCTTAGTTGGGGGCAGTTCAAGTCGTACTGCCTCCTTCGGTTCGGACCCCCACTAAAAAACAACCCCTTGGGGGAACTCATTAATCTCAAGCAGACCGGTACCGTAACAGAGTATCAGCGGCAGTTCCTGACCCTTCTCGCCAGGGCCTCTTTAGTACGCCCAGACCAGCAGGTGGATATGTTCATAGCTGGTCTAGCCGAACCCCTGAGAGTTGATGTAGAGATGCAGAGCCTGCCTAACCTGGTCATGGCAATGAATTTAGCCCGAGCCTTCGGGCGCAAACTACAGATTAGCCGAGGGCCGTTCAGCATGGGATGCCCAGCAGCGGCTTGGACAAACCCGAAGCCTACTGGAGGAGGGTCTTCACTGGCAGCCAACAGGGAACCAC